CAGTGACTATCTTTTCAAATAGGGTCTATTTGCCATGAATTAATAATACAATATAAAGCCAAAGCCCATTTCAGACATGCACTGCAACCCTGAACTTATCTACACATTACCTGGAGGAGCTGTATGTGAGAAAGCAAATGTCAGAATCAGTTGGACTGGATATTCCACGGACTTTACCCTGCCCAGCTCCTGTGTAATGTCCATTTGAACGCGTGTGAATAGAGCAGGTTATTTTCTGGAGAGTTCATACCTAGCATGTTGATGACATTTCTTCATGTGACAGGAGCAAAACTGGGAGAATACAAATGCCTAAGGGTCATATACACCAAGATGCAAAGAAATATTTCTAACTGGAGAGAGTATTGGGACATTCTGCCATTGAGGTCTGGCACCAAAATTGTGAGACACTTTCAAGGAACAGCAAGAAACCTGGTCATTTGTGACCAAACCACTCACGTGCTACGTGATCGTGTACTTTTTGTGTCATGTGCTGCCTCTCAGATGCTCTGCCTAGGCGCCACCCCTTGCATAAATTTAACAGAGTATATCCAGTAGGTAAGAATACATCTGACATGGACAGTCTCCTGTTGTGAATAGGTCCAGATGATGTGTGGACCTGATTCTCCAGACATTGGCTGGAATACATATGAGCTTAACTCAGGGTGAGAAGCGTGCCGTCATAAGATGGGTTTCCATACAAATGGGGGAAAAAAGTGAATCAATGCACATTTCCATGAACTCCTGTTATACATGTATTAGGAATTGATTTGTCTAGATAAGCAGCTGGAGCAGCACTAATTCTTCAGTTGGTGCTTTTAAAATGACTGAAGAAGCAACGAGCACAACAAGATGATGCAATTGAAAGCACACCAGGGAAATGTCAAACCTTAGAAAACATGACAGAAATATTGCATTTATATTATTTTCATGTATTAATTAAAGGAACATTACGATCTTTTCATTGCACCACACACAGATCTGACCTTTTTGTCTGCCAATATTTAAATTACAGAACTGTCAGTTTCATTTAGGTCACATGTTTCATGCACGTCCTGACTACTTGTCACATTTTTTCTTGTAAGTGAAACACTAACTTCATCACTTCACCCCAGAGTAAGAACTTTTTTGCAGTATTGTGAGATTTTATTTCAAATTTCCTGCACTTTCACTTAAGTTTCACTTTACGTGCCAACTGAAAATGCATATAAAACCAGGTAGTTCGTTAGCTGACCTGTAGAAAGGGCAGGAGATGCAGGCATCCATCCTCTGATGCAATCATGGTGATGAACATCATAGCACGGTTCACATGAGCATGGGAGGTGTTTTAATTGTTGGCTCTCTGTGCAATACTTTGGAACAGTGCGCGGTATGACTGGCATATTATTTACGGGTTGCTTATTTTAATGCATCCACCCTGGCAATAGCTGCGGCCAGAGGCATTCTATTTTCAGGTTGTACGATTCTTGTGAATTTCTTAAAATCCACTTAGACTCAAAGATGAACTTCTTTAGATTTTGGTGGTCAAAAGCCAAGGTCAGTGACCTCACTTGTGTCCCAGACCCTTGAATTTGACTGGCTGGCAGAGGCATACAACTGCGAAGCGGTGATTCTAGTTTCTCTTGTAGTTGGTTAGGTTCTCTAAGTTGAATTAGTTTGATATTTGAATTTGTGTTTGTGTGTACATGTGCCTATATGTGTCTTAGTCATAGACTGAATATAAGGATGCTTTTAAGTTCAATATGCTTGGCTATAAATGTGACACAGCAATACTGAACCCAGGGGAAAGTATAAAGTATATAATGTATAATATAGTATAAAGCATATATCCAACAATATTTTTGTCACAGTCAATCTGGGTTTAGTTTACAACTTCTGCAACATCTGACAGCAGAAAAAAACACAACCACAATCCATCCACCATTTTTAACTTTTTATTTTAGCATTTGATTTGATTTGATAATTTTTTTTTTTTTTTTTTAATTGGGGGGAAAACCGGGGC